GAAAATTCCAGAAAGTGCAAAAGCACTTATAATAAGAAAACAGCCTTTGATAATTTCCTTAACACTGAAAAAAGTGGTGCAAAGGTGAAGAAAAAGGAGATTGCAAGAGAACATGAGTAGACTCTAATAGCAAGACACATGGTCTTTATTTTCATTGTACAACTTCTCTGGTGCATGCATGTGAAATACTTCATAAACTGTATACTTTCAATTCAACTATAAGTCAATAAATATATTAAAATTATCCATACATAAATTAAATATAGCTTGAAGTATAATTTGAATTGAATGTGCAAAACCAAACAAAAAAATACCAAACAATAACGTATTTTCTTCCCCATTTGTCTGTGTGTCCAGCAGGGGCAGCAGAATTATTCTACAGGCTGGAGCCTTTCTGGGCATGGCTGATCTCCCCAGGTCACCAGCACCCACAGCCCAGCAGGGACCAACCTCGCCAGTATCAATCATTCACAGTCTCCCTGACTCTTCAAGCTCCCCACGTGAATGGTGTCCTGTCCTGCAACCAGGCTAGGGTCAGTCCATCAAAGGTTAGTCCCTGTCAGGCAATTTTTTTTAACACCCTCTGTTTTTCAAGTAGAAAATGGTTACTAACTCTTTAGGTCTCAGCTAAGAGTCCTTTCACAGATGTGCTCTCTGTCATCCCAAAACCAGCTGAGACTAAAGTATGTGTTGTAAATGCTCCAGAAGTTTTCCATTATAACCCTTCACTTCTTTATGGTTAATTCAGAGAGCCTGTTGTTCTTACAAGGTAAACTCAAAAAGCACAGTGACCACACATTTCTTGTTCTCTTTTGAGTTTCCAGGGCCCAGTCAACAGCCTGACACATGACAGATGCTCTTTAAACACTCATTAAATCAATAAGGGAAACTGCACAATGGAAGCCTGTCAGTTTGTGTGATACTTGTAGTCACATTATATTTCTTAAAAACCCAAATAGTTGGTGTCAGCATGAGAGGAGGCCACAGCCTCCTTGAGGACATCCTCGGGTCAGGCTTTCACTTCTCACCATTCAGGAGGAATGAAAGGATCCTCCTAACAGTGACAGGTTGGAACACATATTACTTCTCCAAAATCACACCCCTCCACAGGCCCACCTTGTGAGTTATGTCTCATCACCCAGGGCCTCTGTTTTTCCTGTTCTCACAGATACCTGACCTAACAGAAACTCAGGATACTCTACCTCTGGAAGAGTTACTGCCAGGGGAGGAAAGAACATACACTTACCTTATAAGAATCAGGGATGACATTTCATTCCCAAAATTCCTCTCTGTGGAGAACCAGACTGTTGTTTCTGAAAACATCTGTCTAGATCATGATGCCCTGAGGAGCAAGGGCAATTTCCTGTGCAGAATAGGACAAGGGAACCCCGAATCTATTCTTGCTTCCATCTCAGAGGAGCTGAGGGTTCAACATGAACCTCTCTTCTCCTAACAATACAACACACAGGGCCCTGGCTGAGTATGCACATGGAGATGCTCCAGCTCCTAGGCCCTGTGGGAAGACAGAGACACAGAAATTACTCATATGCAACATCCCAAAGTAGTGATGGCGAACACACAGGACATTTTGGGGATCAACCCTCCAGGTCAGGACCCTCTCCAAAAGTCTTAAGGACCTTCACCAGGACTTTCCTTTGAACATTTGAAAACAGAGAGCTCTGTCTGAAACAGCACATTTCCCTGGTGGGACAGTTCTCTTGACACTGGACTCACAGTACTCTCAATAATGCCTGCCTGTTCACTGGGCTAACCCTGCACTGATCAGGATCCCTGTAAAGCCCCTGACATTGGCTGCAGTTCTACTTCTGTCCTCTAGGGGACAACATTGAGACACACAGGAAATAAACACAGGGACCTGGCTTTGGTTAAGAAGATGGAGAAGGAGCATGATTTTCATGCCCTGATTCAATGATCTTTTCTTGGGCCCTCCCTCTTGACTGCTCTGTCCCGCCTGCTACTTCTAGAGACTATTTACAGAAAGGGGCTCTGTGGAAACCCTGAGAAGCTTAGGGGGCCACATGGCAGGCCTGACAAGCCTCTCAGGATATTCTAATCAGAAATTTCTAGCTTAGTAGGTGATCGCAGGTTGCCACATCCCAGGCCTATATTTTCCTTAGGCAAGTTCCATATTCTGCTTGAGTGAGCCCTGATCCTTTTTTTCTGCATCTTGGAGAGGATAACTTTGACAGATCACAATGATATCTTTTGCTGGACCAATCAAACTGACAGAATCTGGAGCAAAAGTATAACACAGAACCCTTTATGTTATCCAGTATTTTAAATACCTTCTCTCTATCTTGTAAATTTGAGTAATCTGTATCCATTGATGTAAAAAGTATGTGTGTCCCTTTTCTGCTTTTTTCCAACTCTGGAGATTTCCCTGCTATTTTATCTCTCAACTTCTAATGCATCCTATGCAATATTTTCACTTTGTACTTTGATTATCATGTACAAAACAAGCTGCAAAATTGCCTTTCTTCAAAGGATTTGAGTCCTTTCTCCCAGGTGTATGAAGTCAGTTTTGCTCAGATAAACACATTGCATTGCTTTCAGGTTTAGAAGTTTCTTACTTTGACAGGGCCTGGGATCACCTTCTCCCTCAGGGGTTTCTGTGCTGCTATCTCTACTATGTCTGGCATCATCCATGGTCAAGTCTGTTGACCACAAGAAGAGAGGTCTGTTGACCTCTCAGGCAGAAATCAGAGGTTGTCCCACAGTCAGAAACACAAGATCAGGTCCAATAAACAGACATGGAGACACATGAAACTCTTTGGAATACCAGGAAACCCACAGGCACATGATCATTCCCCACAATTCTTTCTTCATGAGACACACAGGACACCTAACAATTCACTCCTAAAAATCTGCAGATCCTACTGAGACTTCTGTCTTTGAATCTTTGTCCCTAGAAGCAAAATCCAGTCTGGTGACAACCTGAGATAGAAGAAGGGTCCTCTATGTAAATATCACCATACTTGACCCTTATCACTGCCAGACTCATTTTTGTGACCTTCCTGCTGAGAAGAAAGAAAAGCTTCTCAGAGCAGAGAATTTGAGAACATAAGGAAGACTGGATTCCCACCTGAGTTTCTGTGTCACAAACAGAAATGATCCCCATATTTTGAGGACAGCAAGGACTCCCTGTTCTCTGCTGAGAGACCACAGACTAAGACACAGCGCAAGTCAGTGCTGGCATGAGTGGGTCCTCCTCTCAGGGGTAAAATTGCTCCCATTAGCCTTGCTATTGCAAGTGCAACATACAGGGCAGGAAGATCTACGTCTCCTGAGAGTTTGTCAGATGCAGAATCTCTAGCCCACTTCCTCCCCTTTAGAATCTGTAATTTAACAGAATCTGGAGACTTTCTCTGTGGAGAGGACATCAAAAGTGGTTCAACCTTCACAAGAAGACATCTCATTTTGAATGGACACCCACATTAGCTGTACAGTTGACAAAGCTGCATTGTTAAGGTGTCACCTCGGCATTGTAATCTTCACTAAGTTTCACAGGTGATCTTATGCACAGCTGGGTTGATATGGTTGTGACAGGTTTTTCTGACCTAGCTTCAGAACACCTGCTCTGAAAAGAAAACTCAAATGTGATAGGGAGAGGGCTGAGGGAAAGGCCTATGTGCAGCTGACAGAAAGTTCTTGGGAATGTCTGAAATACAGGCAACCTAGTCTATTACTTTTCACACACAGCATGAAAGTATGTGTTTATGTGTGGGTTTATATGCATGTGTGCATGTGTGTGGTGTTGAGAAACTGCAGGACTTCTCAGGGAACCAAAATGCAGAGGAGCAGTACTGGTAAGCAGGGACTGGGGAGGCATAATGAAGGCAGGGAGTGAGATGATCCTGTGCAGAGACCCAGCCCCCAGCCCACATGACAAGAATAGTAAACATGCCCCAGAATAAAGCTCAGCCTACAAACAGGACACACAGCAGATTGCACCATTCAGGACCGAGGTGCCTGTGAGCCTTACAGAACCTCAGGTTTTCTCTAGGAGGCAACTCAGAGCAGACAACATACACCATGGGATCCCTATCATTTTCTACCTACAGAGGACATGTCCACTGGCAAGGGCTCCTACTGGTTGGTAAGTAGGTGACAATTCCTTGGTGTAGACTAAGGATCTGACACAGAGGTTGCCTGGGATCTGCTGAGAGACCAGTCCTCAGAGAAAAGAGGGAAGGCTTTGGTTTGCTCCTGAGGGTGAAGGACAAGTAGCAGAGTAGGATTAGGAAAGGGGTCAGAAAGAGAAAAATCTCGTAATCTAGAAGTGGTGAGAAGCAGGAAAACCTCAATTGCTGTTCTTTTCCTGTTATTCATCATTGAGTATGAATAATACAAACTGATGATGATAATAATAATAATAATAATAATAATAATTTTTGTCAGGGAAGAGTATAAAAAATAAAATCTTAACCAGGGGTGCTAGGCATTGTCTTTACCACCAACCTGACAAATGCTCAAATATACCCTACATGGTACAACCCTGAGATTGCTTTTTCATTCTAGTCCAAGTACCTGCAGCCTGTCTAGTCCCTGGAGGTACAAGATCCAACAAGGCCCTGCTTTAATTTGAGGCCATGTTCAGGAGTAGAGGGGGGAAAAGGAAAGACCTAGATGTTATGTGACATATGCATAAGACCCATGGGAAAAAAGTAGCAAAGAGAGAGAATCTTTAGAGAAGGTTGTCAGCATAGTGTCTTCCAAAAAATGGCCCTGAATATAAGAAAGAGTCTGAGCATAATGAGGGGATGAGCACGAAAACACCTAGAGAAGACTGCTTGAAACCAAAAAAAGTAACAGTTTCAGAGGTGCTGAAATAATGGTGGCCATGCTGTGGATCTTGACCCTGGGAGACACACACTCACCTGTAGACCAAGGCTCAGAAATAAAGAAACCTTCTCAGGATTCAGACTCATCTATCCATCACAATGTATACATACAAACATATTTTTTTTTTTCTTTCCCAGTCTCACTCTTCCACTTCTGGTGCCAGCCCACCACAGCTGAAGTCTCTATTGTACCGACTTCTATTGCTGAAGGGGAAGCTGCGCTTCTACCTCTCCACAATACACCTCCCAATGTTACAGCCTACGTATGGTACAGGGGGCAAAAGACTGATAGAAGTCATATGATTGCATTTCTTGTAACATACCTAAGATATGACATAAAAGGTCCTGCATACAGTGGACGGGAGAGAATAAACGCTGATGGATCCTTGCTGATAGATAATGTCTACATAAAAGATGAAGGAATGTACACCGTGGTAGTCTACGTTGCAGATGTAATAAAAGAAATTGGATCGGGGCGGCTTATCGTATATGGTGAGTGATTACTCTCTGAACACTCGGTATTGGGTGGGGTGGATTCTTCTTCATACCCAGGACAGACAACCCTGAATTCTGCTTTTATTCTCTCCCCATTTTGTTCCAGGTTGGATTTTGTATAGACAAATTTCCTAAGCTATCAGTTCCCTTCTCAAATTGTACCCCTGTGGACAGTCACTGCAGACAGAAGGATCATTGTGGTGGAAATTACTCTGCAGAGGGAGTCCCATCTCATTCAGCCCCCCTGAGCACCTGCCTATAAACTTGACCTTGTGAATGACTTTGATGTACTAGATCAAAGCATGGTCTGAGAGGCCCCCTGAAATTCTTATAGAGATCAGCTCAGAAATTCCTCCCTAGAACCTTGTCTTAGGGATCTGGAACCCAGGGACTGTGGTGGGCCTGTGCCAAATTGTGTTTGAGCTCCTGGGAAAGGCCAAATGACAAAGGGTTTAATGGGTTCCCAAGACACACAGATTTTGATCTGGTCACCAGTCAGAACTCAGGACCAAGAGTCACATTTTGGCAAAAATGGAGTTTGGTATCATTTGAGTCTGTATGTGGAGAGCACAGTTAAGCAATGTCCCAGTATAACCTACTGTCCTGGGGATCTTAGAAAGGTTCAGAAGAAGGTCAGCATCCCCAGAAAGAAACTGAGAAGAAAAGATGCTCTTGACAGCTCCTTTTTCACCAGGGATCAGACTAGGAGATTCTCTCTTGGAGTTGATCAATAAGAGATGTCCCTTAATTGAACAGCTCTTCTTTCCCTGGTTAAGGTCAGATGCTGTAAATATTGTACAGTTTGTACACTCACAACTTAGCAGCCAAATATTTCTTGTGGATAAACAGAGGAACCCAGAGATACATTCATTACAGCAGAGTCACATAGACCATGAACAGCTGATCAGAGTCTCTCAAAGTGAGACTGTGGCCTCAGATTTAATTTCTCTACCCTAGAGACCATATGAGGGTGTCTTTGGATTTTTACACTAACAAGTTGGTACAGATTCTTTTGTCTTAAGCATGCTTATCTCACAGGAGTACCTTTTGGCCTGTGTAGTGACAAAAAGGGGGAATAATGTATTTTTACTCTAGAACAAATTACCTGTAGTAACAATCAGAATCACTGCACAGGTGTCCCCCTCACATGGCCTATCTACACCTTCAGCCACTGGACTTCACATCACTTAGTTACTTGCTTTTTGTTTTTGGTATAGTCACCCCATGAAGGTATAAAGAAAGGACTTTGCCTTTTCACTCCACACTCTATGCCTGAAACAAACTCAGGGACCAATATGTAACAAACATTCAGTTGCTGTTGAATTAGGAAGAAATAAATGGTGATAAAATGAGTGAATGAATGAGTGAATTATCCAAAATCACTTCAGATCCTGGAACCTGGATTCAGAATCTTTTAAATTCTTGACATGAGGGACAAGCTTTCTGTTCCTCCAGGAACTGAGACCATCATCTCAGATCAGTTATTTTTCTCTAATAAAATAGTCTTTCTGCAATACCTCTAAGGCCATGGGCTGTTAATAATAATTTTTACATACAGAAGAATTTTAAGTTTTTTTTTCCAAATTTCTATCTCATAGACACCTGACACATATTGTCCACAAGGTCAAAATTTCAGCAAGTCCATGACACCACTTTCTATAAGATCCTTGTTTTGCATTTGCACCAGTCTTTACCTTCCCACAGGGGAGAGAGAATGACTTTAAAGGTCAAAGGCAGAACACTTGATTCTGCTGCCTTAATCAGCTTCTGCTTGCCCTTTTTCCTCTTTCCTAAATCACTTCTTGGATTTTGCTCAATAATTTTGTGGCCCACTGACCCATTGGGCTCATTGACTAATTCGGTTCACACTCACCTTAAAATACCTGACCCAACTCTTGGCCCAGAATCTTGAGTAGTCATCTTACCTTTCACTTGTCCCTGCTCTCTCTGTGTTATATATGCACAAACCACAGTCTCCAGGGTGTCCTGGGAAATGATACCTCATAGAAACACACTTCAGTTGAGCAATAGAAGTCTGTGCAGCTAAAAGGAAACAATTCTTGTCAACCAGACAGTCAGGTGGTCTGTGAACAACCAGAATTACAGGGGTATATCTGACTCGCAATCTTATGTCTTTCCTTAATCAAACATTGAATTTTAAATGACACCTGAGAAAATTGGTACTTTTCCCCATACATATAGCTGGAGGCCATACATTCTCTGAGCACCCAGATTCCAATGCATTTTTTAGTGATTCACAGATGTCCTGGGTGCTTTCAAAGACCCAAGTTGACTGAGATGAGATGTGAGAGGTGCCAACTCTGGTTGAAGAAGCTTTTGGAGAAAGGAAAGGTACTACACAGGGCAATTTTTATTTTTTACTTGCAGAGCAAAGTTAACCATACCAACATCACAAGCAAGGTATTCAACCTGGGGAGTTTTGACTTTCATTTTTGTGAATAGCAGTGGTGTTGAGAATTTTTTCTGTGACTTTTGGCCCATTGCATATATTCTCTGGAAAAATGTCTATTGAAGTGTTTTGTTCATTTTTAAGTCACTTTACATGTCTTTTGTGATTGCTGTTGAATTTTAGAAAACCTTTTGTATATTCTAGACATTAACCTTATATTTTCCATATGATTTGCATAATATTTGTTCCCATTTCATAGGACACCTTTCAACTTCTTTATATTTTTCATGAAGAAAAAATTTTCATTTTGACAAAATCCAAATTGTCTATCTTCTTCTTGTGTTCTTAGTGTCATATTCATACATCATTGCCAAATCAATGCCATAAGGCTTCTCCCCATACTTTTCTAAGCATTTATAGTTTGGCGTCTAACCTCAAGAATTTGATCTATTTGATTGAATTTTTGTGTGCGGTGTCAGACAATGACCCCTGTCACTTGTTTGCATGTGAATATTGCTGTGCAACACTGTTTGTTGAAAAGACTATCTTTTCTCCACTGAATAGTCTTTATCACCTAGTAAATTATTTAACAAAAGCTAAATGTTTTTCTGCTTACTGTAGTTTTCCTTGGCTCCAGAGATAGACAAAGTGGTAAGCCTGCCTTCCACAACATGGACAAAAGTTCGCATAAGGACTAGGATCTAATGTTTTGAGGGAAAAAAATGTTTTAGGAAAAGATCAATGAAAGCTCAAGAGAGTAAAATTCTATCTGATAATGTGGTTATAGCACCTATGGGTTGCAAAGGGATTTTGAGAGCTGCTAATGAAGATGATTGAGGGAATATGAATGGAATCACCCTGGGATTATATATGGTCAGAGTGGAGCTGCAGCTGTCTCCATACATAATTTCACATGAACTTAGACAATTATCTGTCTGCAAATGTCAGGAACATATTCTGGTAAGCCTTACATAGCTCACTGTGGATGGTAAGTGGCTGAGATCTGAGTAAGTAGGATGGTTCCATGTTTCAAGCCAATTCTCAATCCATCGCATTCCCTGTTCCTCCACAGAACCTGATTTAATGGTCTCCCTGGGTGCCAGCAACACCACAGTCACAGAGAATAAGGATACTGTGGTCTTGACCTGCAACACAAATGCACTCTCCATTCAGTGGTTGTTCAATGGCATGAATCTGGAGCTCAATGAGCGCATGAAGGTGTCAAAAGTCCACCAAAGCCTCACCATAGACCCTGTGAAGAGGGAAGATGCTGGGACTTACCAGTGTGAAGTTTTCAACCCCATCATGTCTACTACAAGTTTTCCTGTTGTGTTGCATGTGAAATTGAGTGACACTCATTTCCTGCCATAAGTTATTAAATTATAAATAAAATATTTTGCAGCATTATAATAGGTTTTGTTGAAGATGAATAATTCTTAAAAGATTTGCATTGAATCAATAAACACTCAAAAATGTAAGCAGACATTGTCATTATTATTGCATTAAGGTCATATTCCAAACAACTGTCATCTCGGTGGGTTGGTCTCATTTGTACCATGTCCACAGTGGAGGTGACATTGTGTCCTACACAAGGTGAGCACTGGTCCTGTGATACAGTGGCAGCAGGTGATGAGCTCATAGAATCTGAGCTCTATCCTTCATGTAAACATGTGGAGGGCACGTGGACACTGTTGTTGACAATGAGAATGGACAAAAGGACACTTCTGTCAGTATTAACACTGATCTTTGTGTTTCTATTTCTTTTAAGACATTTCTAAAGCCTTGATTATTCTTATTTATATGTCAATAAATTATTTCCATAACTTCAATACATTTCTGTTCTTTTTGTTAGTAATATCTACTTAGAAGCTCTTGTAATAAAACCAACACTAAAGGTCATCTTTCTTAGTTCAGACAAATGTCCATGGAATTAGAAATGACCTCACACCTTATGAAGCTAAGTTTGACCTCCTGGTTCTTTGGGATCTTTTGGAGAAGAGGACACCACCCAGATCTAGAGATAATGCAGGTGAATTCTCGGGGTGAAGCTTTCTGAACTCAGGTGACTGTTAAAACTTTCATCTTATCTTTTATAGAAAAAAACTCCACCAGAGAAAAATATGTGGTGAAAGTGAATTCCTCTGCACTTAGGTAACTAATCAGGCCAAATCAGGTGTCACCAGCCATTACCTCAGATGGGTTTAAGTCCTCCATAACCCCCTCTACTTCTGTTTAGGTCTCATTCAAATGTCACAGAGACATGGATGTTTTCCCTGACCATAGTACATGAGAGAGTAAACCCTGCAACCCATCCACTCTCTCTACTGCTTCCCACCTTGCTCTTCTTTAGAGGGCTTATCACTATAAAGAAAGCTTTGGGAGGTCTCTCTTGGATTTAGTCATTCAACTGCTTTACCCAGTAAGATTTCATTTCTACTCTGATTTCTTTCCATGTCCCTCCCTCAGGTGAGCCTTTGTCCCTTCAAACCATTCACAGTGTGGACTCAACCTCCCTGGACTTTGTCCTATGAAGCAGTTCATTGGCAAAGCCATGCAGGCTCTTAAGTTTACAGTTTTAGCATTGGGAATGCACTTTCCCCCACCCTTACCTCTTCCTATTATCAATCCAGCTTTAAGTGCCTGGTTGGGGAGCTGTTCTATTGCAGGGATATTCGCTTCCCAATTCCACCTCATGTGGTGGGCTTTTTTCAACTACCTTAGCTATCCTGTGGGGCCCAAGGCACAGACCCTGGGCAGGACATCACACAGATTTTTTTCACAGAAACAGGTCATATACTACTGAGGCTTTAAAAATATTGTTTAATTGTTATGTTCTTATTTGTTCTATCTACTACATTGGATGCTATGTAAATAGAATGTTGTCAAAGTAATTTTTGAATTACAAATATTTTCAATGTATAATTACAATTCCTTCAATTAGGATGGAGAAAGGCAAGCAATTTATCCATTATAGATATTTAGTTTTTTAAAACCACATTGGCACACTTAGTTTATGAAGTGTCTCCTTAAAGAAATATTTGATATTTTTTTTTGTAATGTGAACAATAAAGCCTATTGCATGGTACCATACCATTCTCATTAGAAACAAACAAGCACTCCAATTGTATATGTGCACATCAATACTATGATGTCATTGACTCATCCTTTAGATATGTTATTAAGAGATTTAGTAAAAAATAACATAATTTTATTCATGCAAAAATATTGGCCACTAATGAACTAGAAATTGGATTAGTTTTTGTTATATTTTTAATTTATGTGAGCCAATAAAGTAGAAAAAATTATATGAACAAATTCTAATTATTTCCTGAAGGGGTGGACATTAAAGACATCTATACAGGGAGAAACAACCAATGACCTGATTGTTTAATTTTAAAACCAATTAACATTCTGAGAATATTAGGAAGGTCTCAGGGCTTTCCAATGTCTCAAGAAACAATTCAAGAAAAAGTTAAAATATAGAGAAAAGAAATCTCATAAAATAATATTTATATTTGAATGCCATAGAGGAAATGCTCAGGGGGAAAGTTTAGACCCCAGTCATGAACTGAATAAGGGTCTGAGACAACTTACTGTGAACAAGCAGCTTGGCATGAACTTGCAGGGCTTTATATCATTGAATGTGACTCTGTTAAAGCAACATTTTGTTCAGAGAAGCTTATGATGATGTTTTGACACAGCCACTTATACGGTTAGCAGTATGATGAGGTTAAATATACCCTAGGTGGACTTGGAAACATTTTAATTTTAAGAACATATTTTTCACAATTTGAACAACAATAATCTGAGAGGTTTGTTTGGACTTTACATAGTAGACATATGAGCAAGCCATATTGCTTCTAATTCAAAAGCAAGTGCAAAAGCAAAAAAAAAAAAAGTACAACATAAAATATGCTAATTGGGCAGCTAGTCAAAGAAGCAGAGTTTACCATTTTGCAGATAAGAAGGAAACCACTCTCTTCAGGCAGCCAAAAACATGTTGGAAACATAGCAGATTACCTAGCGTTAAGGTTTCAAAACCTCTTTCACATTATACTTCACAACTGCACAATTGAACTTATTGACCTGTGACTTATTTAGGAAATGCCTAGTGCTATTTATATACTAACATGCTGTTCATATGAACTGAAGACTATCTTGTATTGCTAACTAGAAAGACGGAATGTCCATAAAAGAAAGGTTTCAGGGGAGTCTTATTGAATATACATCATTCTTCTCAAATCACACACATGTAACTGCTTTTAAACTATAGCTGATGCAGAGGATACTTACTTAAATAAGCCTTAATAATATATTTTATAACATAAATAAATAAAAATTTACCCATGACCCAGATATAAAAATGCAAAAAACACATTAATATAACTGTTGTAATAAGATTAATTTATTCATTCATAATACTAAACTTTTCATTAATTTTTAGAAAAGAATTTTGAAGTTTGTATTTGCCAGGGCAAAACCTTTTCAAAAGAGATGGAAGGGTGGGTGCTCTTCCCATCAGCGAACCTGTTAGCCACTCTAGTTAAAAAGCTTCCTTTTGGGCTTCTGGCCAAGAAGGAGGTGTAGATATACACATGTTGTCTCCTCACACAAACATAAGGACAGTAACAAGAAATGTAAAACCAAAATACAACCAGAACTGCCAGAAAATCACAGTCTATGGAAGTACCAAAACCAAGGAAAACAGAGAACCATGCAAAACTAGGTAGAATGCAGATGTGGTATGATGGTGAATGTTCCTAATACTGAGTGGCTGGTAAAACTCCCATCTTGTCCCAAAGCAAGCAGAATGAAGGAAATAATCAAGATAGAGCAGAATTAAATGGAATAGAAACTAAAAAATAATCCAGGAGCTAGTTCTTTCAAAAGACATACAAAACCAACAGGCCTTTAACCAGGCTCATCAACAAAATAAGTCGTATGACTCAAATAAATAAAACTAGAAATGAAACTGGTGAAACTGCAACCAATACAGAAATACAGAGGATCATATGAAAATACTATGGACAAAAGCTTTCCCACTAAGATCAGGGACAAGGGTGTATATTTTAACCATTTCTATCCAACATAGTGTTAGAACTTTAACCACAGTGCTCCTACAGGAAGAAGAAATGAAAAGCATCCAAATTGGAAAGGAGAAAGTAAATCTTTCTCTGTTTCCATATGACATGATAATGTAAATAGAAAACCTTATGAACACCACCAATAAACTACTGGATCTAATAAATGAATTTGTCAACATATCAGGATGCAAAGTCAACATTCAAAAAAACAAAGGCATTTTGTACATTAACAGTGAAATATCAGAAATATAAATTAGCAAAAATATTCCATTTACTATAGCAAAAAGAAAAATAAAATATTAAGGAATGAATTTAACCACAGAGGTAAAAAAGCTCTACTCAGAGGTTTATACAACACTGAAGAAAAAAATTAATGAAGACACAAATAAATTGAAGCACATACTATGTTCATGGACTGGAAGAATTTTCACCCTTAAAATGTCCATATTACCAAAGACAATCTATAGAATCAATTCAATCCATATGAAAATGCTAATGATATATTTCACAGATATAGAAAAAATATTTCAAAAATTTACATGAAACCATAAATACATCTGAATGGTCTCAGCAATTTGGAGAAAAAAGAAATCAAAGTAGGAGTGATCACAATACCTGATATCTAACTATAATACAAGGCCATTGTAATAAAAACAATCTGGTACTGTCATAAGAACAGACTCATAACCAATGGAACAGAATAGACAGGTCAGAAATAAATCCATGTCTATGTGGTCAATTATTATTTGACACAGGGAGCAGGAAAATAAAAAAGTAAAAATAACCTCTTCAGTAAATGGTGTTGGGAGATCTGGATTAGTACATGAAAAAAAAAAGAAGAAGAAGAAAAGAAAAGAAAGAAAGAAAGAAAGAAAGAAAGAAAGAAAGAAGTTAGACCATCAAATTACAACATACAGCAAAATAAAATCAAGATGGATGAAAGTCTTAAATGTAAGTCATAACATCATAAAAGTCCTAGAGGAAGACCTAGGCATGAAAATTTCAGATATCCTAGCCTGCAATAGTTTCACTAATACATCCCCTATGACAAGGGATTGAAAGGAAAGTATAAACAAATGGGATTACATCAAACTATAAAGCTTCTGCATGGCTAAAGGAAACAACAAAATGGAAAGGAAACAAACTGTATGGGAAAACATATTTGCCAATGATATCTCAGACACGAATTTAACCTCCAAAATATATAAAGAACTCACACAACTCCACACCAAGAAGACAAGCAATCCAGTTAGAAAATGGGCAAAGGATCTGAACAGACACTTCTCC